CTAGGCAAGGGCTCCAGCACGGAGCAACAGCCCACCTGCTTGATTGCTTCCTGCTGCAAACAACCCCTGCTATCTCTGAAAGTCTCATTCTCATCAAGGGAGATTAGGGCTTGTTCAAGCAAAGCTGGGAACTTTCCTACCCTGTTCTGCCCATTTATCAATATTACTCGAAGCCACAGATACATGTCAGGGGAGAAAGTAAAAGCTACAGAACAAAACCTAGCATCACCCATTTTCCTCTAATTGACCTACTGTAGCTGAGCTTTATTGTGTGATTAATTTTTTTCTCAGATTTTCCTCAAGTCCTCATTGATAGATTTAAGATAGATTGTTACATAGAAATGAACTAAAAACATTTTAACACAGAAACCATAGTATGTTTGTATACAGCTACTGAATTTAACTTCTTGCATTTTATTAGTCACAGTGCTATAATCTGGAATTAGAACACTTCAGACACTGCATGGTGACCTAAGTCTGTCTCAGGTGTTTCCAGCACAGTCCGTTGGTAAGACTGTGTGGAGTTCTTTACTTACTGTGCTTAGGTCGACCATCTCTCAACGCTTCACCAGACCCCTCCAAACAGGTGATGCCAGTGGAGACAGGAGCACCAACCATCAAGTCATGCAGTGTAGACCCCGAGATGTGCTTTCCATTCTCCGTGTACAATCTGAGAAGAGTTATCTGGTCCACTCAGATAACCTTCTAGCATGAACTGAGGCCTTTAATTTTTTAAAAAAGCAAAACAAAATCATGTGTGCAGTAATTTGACACAAACAGATTTTGTACACTGTCACCATTCCTTTGAAATCATTTCTCAATTGATGAGCCAATTTTTTGGAGGAAAAATTACCACAGAAAATTTTTCCCAAATACATGTCACTGTCTCCAGTTGCCCTGCAAAGTATCCAGCAAACCCAGAGAGGGCAGCAGAGGGAGGCTGAAGTCTGCGCTGGACTATTTAAAGCTGCCCTGAATCATTTGGGGCAGTTCTCAGGAGGCGACTAAAGATGAAATCATGGATACTGAGTATTTTCCAAGAGGTGAAAAAAATCCTCACAGAAACAGGAAATTTCTTTTAGCTGCTTTCTTTTAGCTGCTTCCGCTCTGTCTCCAGACCACCTGTTTCTTAGCCTTTAAATTGGAAGCAGGGAGATGGTGTGAGACCCTTGCAAGGTCCATCTCAGATTCTCAACCCAGCGTCCACCGAGGATGCAGATCCCGTGGGGTGTCCCGACCCGCGCGATCGCTCCCGACACGCTTCGGTAGTCACTTTCCCCCAGCGCAGGAGGGGGCTCTGCAGCCCGGGGAGCAAAGCTCCCCAGGAAGACGCTGCCTGGTGGGTGAAGTTCCGAGGACGCTTAACATTAGAAAGAAGTATGATCACTGTATTTACATTTAAATTAGAATGGCAACTTTCGTATAGGTTATGCTTCTGAAAGGTATGTGTGGCGCATCTGCTGAGGTCTATTGTTTATTCATGCTGTAAATCCTTTGAAATGTGTTAAAATGCTTCCCACTCATTATAAAGCTCCTGCCACCCCTGGATTACGACTTTGATGTCACCAATCCTGCTTCAAAGGGTTCTTTCTGGGCTATTAATCACAGTTTAGCCTCTGAAGATATCGCCAGAGAAAACATTTAGACATCTTTATGCTAGACTTGCTAAACTTTGAAATCTCGAGCATCGTGCTTAGGCACAAATTGCAGGGTTTCCTCCCGTTGGTGGCTTTTTATTTTGTTACAGAGTCAAATGACACTATAGGTAAACGTGCAAACAACGCTTCCCACACTTGGTTTGCAGGCGGGTGTGTGGCATTTAGGAGGGAAGGGAGAGTCAGAGCAGTCTCGCAGAGACTTCAGAGGTAACAAGCAGCAGGATGCAAGCCCACAAAATCTTCTGTCATTTTTTGTCTTCATTCTCTTTTCCCCCTTTTGTGATTAATTAGCATTCACAAGAAGAATTGGTGAGATGCCCTGTATTCCTTGGCCTTCCATTCTCTGCTTTGAGACCTATTTGGATTGTCCGCAGCAAATAATAATACAGGTTCACAGAAAATAATAATAATATACACATAGTAATAATTAGCCAAAATGGTTAGGACCAGAAGTCTTTCAGGTCTAGAGTTGGAAGGGAGTGATTTGGGAATATTTGCATAAGCTAAGTGAAGTATCTTGGGAATGACACCCAACTCTAAATGTAGACTTCATTTGTTTCATATACATTTCATACAAATAGCTTGAGGTAATTTTATATTACATGTACACTCACACACATATATGTATATGTATGATATCTATGTGTGTGTTTACAAACATACCTATATCTTATATGAATAGCCGGAAGGTAACATACTCTGTAGATGTTCACACAAATGTGCATGTATACATAGACACACAAGTATATACATATATGTATCTTATACAAATAGCCTGAAAATAATTCTATTTTACCTATACACATATATGGTTATATGCAGTACAATGAACATGAGTAGGCAAATATCTCTTCAAGACCCTGTTTGTTTCGGGTTTTTTTTTTTTTGATACATACTTAGGGATTGCTGGATGATTGTTGAATCAATTATAAACTTTTTGAAAAACTATCACTCTATGATTTCCATAGCTATCCCATTTTATGTTCCTAGTAACAGTGATTAAATTTCAATTTCTCTTTTTCTTTAAATTATTTTCTTTTTAAAATTTTTTATGATGGCTACTCTAGGATAATTTATGGTTTTCATTTTAATTTCCCTAATAATGAGCGATACTGAGTGCATTTTCATGCATATGTTGGCCCTTTCCATGCCTTTTCTAGCAAGCCCTTGTCTGTATTTTAATTGAGTTATTTGGTGTTTTGTTACTGAATTGTAGGTGTTGTTGTGTGTCCTGATATTAGTCCCTTGGTGGATATGTGGCTTGCTACCATTTGTGCCTGTCTGTTTGCTCCTTGACTCTTTCCTGCGGATGGCCTCCTGTGCACACACAAACCTTTAGTTAAGTCAACTCACTCGGTGCTTTTTACTTTTGTTGCCTTGGTTTTGGTGTCCTATCCAAGAAAGCATCATCAGAACCAGTGTTATAAGGCTTCTCATCTATATTTTGTTCTAGGAATTTTGTATTTCAGCTATTATGCTAAATATTTTAATTCATTTTGAATCTTTTTGTCTATAGTAAGATTTAATTTATGATTTTTTTTTTCTTCGGACCTGGGGGTTGAACTCAGGCCCTTGCACTTGCCAGGGAAGTGCTTATTCTACTGAGCCATCTCCCCAGCCCCGTAAGATTTAATTTAATTTATAATAGTAAGATTCAATTTAATTCTTTTGTATATAGATATTCAGCTCCTGTGATGTGGTTTGCTGATTTTTGTTGTTGTTGCATAGTTTTGGAACCTTTGTCAGGTGTCATTTGATCATATATATGAGTATGTGGGGGTTTTAGTACTCTACTTTATTGGTCTATAAGTCTATATGCTGGTAACATACTCTTTTTTCTTAATGTCTTTGGTACAGAGTCTCACTACGTAGCTGAAGCTTTTAGTGATCCTCCTGTTTTCAGCCTCCCTAGCTCTGGGATTACAGGCGTGCGCCACCATGCCTGGACTCGGTTGCCAGCTCAGCATGCTGGGGGGTTGGGCTGGCACAACCAGGGATAAAACCTGGTCCCTGTGCTTTCCTAAGCAGATGCTTGGTCTGTTAAGCTATCTCGCCGGCCCTACATGCCCTTTTGATTACTGTAGCTTTGTAGGACATTTTGTGGAAGTCAAAAACTGTGAAACTTCTTCTTCAAGATTGTTGGTTGTGGCAAATCCTTTGTGGCACCACATGAATTTTAGGATTTTTTTTTTTTCTTCAAAAAAAATCTGTTGGGATTTTGGTAGTGATTGTTTGGAATATATAAGTTGCTTTGGGTATTAAATTTTTTTCAGCACTGAGGATTAAACTCAGCTTCAGAGAGAGCTACATCCCCACTCCTGTTATTTATTTATTTATTTATTTTGAGACAGAATCTCACTGAGTTACTTATACTGGATTTAAACTTACAGTCCTCCTGCCTCAGCCTCTCAGAGTGCTGGGAATAGCAGACATGTGCCACCAGGCTTGGCTTTGAGCCTTATTTAATTATTTTCAGCCATGTCTCACAGTGGAGTTTTTGTTTTGTTTTGCATAGACAAGTTTTTCACCTCCTTGGTAATATTTATTCCTAAGCATTGTATTCTTTTTGATGTTATTATAAACTGAATTGTTTTAATTTCCTTTATGGCTAGTTCATTGTTGATGCGTAGTAATGTAACTGATTTTTGTATATTGACTTTCCATTGTTGTATCCTGGCCAAACTCATTTACTTGTTCTGACAATTTTTATTATTTATTGATTTATTTTTGGAACCAGAAATCAAACTCATGACCTTGGGCTTACCAGGCAGGGACTGTGCTGCTGAGCTATCAGCCCCATCCCCTGACAATTTCTAGATGGAATCTTTAGTATTTTCTGTAAATGTATATCATCTGTAAACAGAGATAATTTTACATCTTCTTTTCTGATTCGGATGACTTACATTTCTTTTTCTTACCTAATTGCTATTCCCGGTAGGATCTTTGTGCCATGAAGTCTGTTAAATGTGAACATCTTTCGCCTTGTTCTTGGAATTACAGGAAAAGCTTTGAGCTTTTCACATTGAGTTGTAGATATTAGCTCTCAGATTTTCATGTGGAGCCTCTATCATATGGAAGTAATTTCCCTCTATTCCCAATTTGTTGCATGAATTTGATACTTTTTGTTGTTTCATTTTTAAGAGTATATAATTTGTTTTATAAATTATTTTTAATTTTAATAAAACTAAATTTTATATAATTGAAACTAAAAATATTCAATTTTTTAAAACCTTAGGTAGATTACTCAGAAAATTTGAGGGGAAAAGACACAAAGGAAAAAATGCTCATGATGCTATTCCTTAATTTTTCCTTCAGTTTAAGTTCTTTGTCTTTTTTGCTCAGGCAATTTGGCCCAGACAAAAGCCAGGATATCAGCAGCCTCCAGATCTTTGCCTCCACATTTCAGTGCTGGGAGAGCCAAGGTGAGTAGATTTGCACCAAGATGATGTGTGGAATAAGGGAGGCTGTTGCTCCTGTGGTGGGGTAATGCTAGTGGACAGCTTTAGTTCCCTGTATCCAGCCCACTGCCTGGTAATGTTTAGGAAATCAGAGATGAGGAATTTGAAAAATATAATGGAACTCTTAGAATCTTGATTCTCAGAAAGACCACTTAAAATATAGTCATGACACTTAAAAATAAAGTCCATGTAAGAAGAAATTTTCCTTATGGCTAAAATCATCCAATGGAGGAGAACAGAGATAAATGTTTCCTATTGCTCTGCTTGGCCCTCTAAAAAATTGGGACACTTTTTAATGTAAGAGAAATATTAGAAGGGCTCATATATTCCCAGCTGTAGTATCTCAAAGATGACCTAGTTGATGCTCACTGTGTGTATGATAATCATCTTAATCTGCAATTTTGATTTTTATAGCCCAAAAATATTAAATGGAAAATTCCAGAAATAAATAGTTCATAAATTTACAATTGTATGCTATTTTAACTGACATGGTGAGATCTCACACCACTCCACATCTCCTGTCCTTGGTCCAGTGTATCCATGTTATATACACCATCCACCCATTAGTCACTCAGTACCTATTTCAATTACCAGGCCAACTGTCACATTATTGAAGTTCTAATATTGAAGCAACCCTTATTTTACTCAATAATGACTCCAAAGTGTAAGAGTGGTGATGCTAGAAAGTTGGATGTGACAAAAGAGAGGCCATAAAATGCCTCTTTTGTAAGAAAAAGTATTACTACTATAACAGTATATTGCTATAATTGTTCTATTTTATTATTAGTTATGATTGCTATTGTCTGACTGTACATAATTTATAGTTAAATTTTATCATAGGTATGTATGTATTGGAAAAAGCATAATATTTGTAGGGCATAGCAAAATCTGTTTCAGGCATCCCCTTGTGATCTCGGGATATATCCCCAGGATTAGAGAAGACTATGTACTAACACCATCAAAAATTAGTTTGAAGGGGATGGAATAATAAACAGATCACATCTAATGTTCTTAATCATTTTCTAAACTTATAAACCTACATAATTTTAACAGTATATATATATATATATATATATATATATATATATATATATATACTGTACGGTACACAAAATCCTACAATATAGTGAAAAATCCACAATAAATAATTTAGATTAATATTTTTTGAAAACCCACAAAACAGTGAGTACGTGAACACTGAACTACAAAATAGCAAGGGACTACTGTATTCCTACTCTGGGAGGACTGAGGTAGGAATATTACAAATTTAATTTCAGCCTGGGTAACTCAGAGGGTTAGTGAGAACTTCTCTCAAAATAAAAATAGAAAACTTGGGGATGCCATGGGTTCAATACCCCATCTGCAAATATATATACATATATATATTTGTTGTTGTTGTTGTTTGTTTGTTTGTTTTTGGTTTGGTTTGGGTTTTTTTGTATTTTAGGGAAAGGTCTACAGGGTGTTCAGAGTCTCACTACTAGATCCAGCTCATAGTGATCCACCTGTTTACAGCCTCCCAAGAGCTGGGATTATAGGCATGCACCACCACATCCTGTCTCAATTGCCATCTCAGCATTCCCTGGGGGTGGGGCCATCATGGCAGGCCCAGGGATGGAACCCCTGGCCCCTGTGCCTACTTGCAGGCTCTTTAATCCGATGAGCTATTTGGCCAGCCCTTCTATATTTTTTTCAATTGCAGCATTTGTGCCGTTGATCTCACAGCCAACAGCACTGTATCTCCTTCCTAAGTAAAGCTTATATAACACAGGTATTTTCTCCACAAGGAAGGTCATAGCCTTCTATACTTAGCAACACTAGATAGCACCTTATTTGCTTGCTTGTTTGTTTTTTGTTTTTCTGCAGTCCTGGGGATCCAACTCAGGACTCTGCACTTACAAGGCAGGTTCTTATGCTGATGAGTTATCTCCCCTCCCCTAGATAATTTTAGAGACCTCAGAAAGACACTTTTTTGAGTAGAAAAGCTGAAACAGAAAGGCTGAATGTCACCGCTGTCGACTTCAGCTGGAAACTTGTGCATCAGGAGACTCAAATTTGTTTACTCCTTTGTGCATGTCTGTAATGACCAGGAAAGGATAGGGAGCATTGGCTTTGGGGTAGCAAATAAATGTTAGCTAGTAGGCACATTCACAAAACAGAAGTACTGACTTCTGCCAGATTAGAAAAGTAAACCTGACATCAAAAAATTAAGGATGCCTATGTCAACCCAGATCCCCCTCCTTTCCTAGATTTGCTTTCTAACTATGAGATCCTGCCAGGTCCTGTTCTTCTACAACCAGAATTCCAGCATGGCGATGTCTCCTTCACGGCACCACCCACTATTATTCAGGCCCTGCCCACATGAATAAGGCGCCTTCTAGTATGTGGCATATATCATTAAAACAATAACTTGTGTGGGTAAGATGAAAATGACCAGAGTTTTCTTTTCACTTGGAAAGGAGATGAGTTAAGACATATAAAATTGTGAAGGGCAACAGCAATTAGAAACAATAAAAACCAACTGAACAAAAATTCATCAGTCTCTGCCTTGTCCAAGATAAAATAATAGAAGTGGCCTTAGATAAAGCTGAGCTACTTAGGGGAGAAAAAAACAATACCTTCTTTTTCTTATCTACCTTAAAGTTCGTGGCTGAGAACCTTTAACAAAATCAGAGTCACAAAAGTATAAAAATGAGGTATATAAAGTAAATCCATATTAATACGATGAGCTGTAAAAGGCTCAGGTCAATAACTTCTGAGGATAACCCACTAATATTATAGACTGCTAGACAGTGTTAGATTGTTTAGTTGAATTCAAACACCTATAGTATTTAGATGCCAATAGAATATTCACCTCTG